TTCACAGAGGTAGGTAGGAGCCCGCCCCTTCCTCAAACTGGGAGGCCCAATCTTAAGTGCGCTAACTCAGAAATAAGCAGCCGCCCCAATCAGCTCCGGCTTAAAGGACATCAAGGAAGACAAGTCAGTCTGAGAGTCACAATAGGGTCCTCTCCACTCTCCAGCTTAGGGTCAACCTCTCTTTGAAATACAGCAGCCTCCTTTCTCCAGGCTGGAGCAAGGAGGGTTCCCCTCCTGGTCCACATAACTTCCTGATTAGCAGGGTTAGCAACTCATAAAGTTAACTGATGACTGGCCGACCTCCCTATAAAGACTGAGAGAGAAAGAGAGAGAGAGAGAGAGAGAGAGAGAGAGAGAGAGAGAGAGTGTGTGTGTGTGTGTGTGTTTCAATGGCATCATCATAGCACACTGCAGCCTCCAATCCCTGGGCTCAAGCAATCCTCCTGCCTCAGTCTCTTGAGTAGCTGGGGCTGCAGGTGTGTGCCAACACAGCCAGCTAATTTTTAAATTATTTGTAGAGATGAGGTCTTGCTGGGGCAGACTGATCTTGAATTCCTGGCCTCAAGTAATCCTCCTGCCTTGGCCTCCCAAAGTGCTGGGATTATAGGCATGAGCACTGTCCCCGGCCCACTTTACATTCCTAACTAGTATAGCATCTGGCTTGCAGTTGGTGCTTAATAAATATTGGGTTGAATTGAATAAGACAGACGATCCAGACACCAAACTCTTTCACATCTTAGAGTGTCTTTATCAGCCATTCTCCATGGGCACTAGAGAAAATATTTGCTGAGACCAACTGTGAATGTTATCCACTGTGCTAGGTGAGGAGAGTAATATCCAGACAACTGCAAATCTTAGTATAACCTATATTGTCCCTACTCCTAAGGAGGCTAGCGGCAATAATTCAGAGAGGTTGCTGTCAAGGAGACTTTGATTCCTGCTAGTGATTTAAAAATTGCTAGAGCTTTATATATACACAATCTGTCCAAGACAACCAACCCTTTTTCCCATCATCAAGGCCTACCAAGCTCCCCAGTAGACAGCTGTTTGCTGACTAAATCTGTGAATATTCTCTAGACTGTTTTGTGGATGGCAACAACATAAGATAACAAACAAACCATCCAGGACATAAGTGTCAAAGAACTTTGGCTCACGCGTGTCATGGAGACCAGTGTGGGCTGCCTGGGATAGCAAGGGATGGCTTTGTATAGAACGCGGAGCATGACCTGGGTGTTAGGAATAACTGGGGTCTGAATATGGCACCCAAGAATGGCAGGGGCAAGACAGGTTGCTGCAAACTGGCTGGGCACCTACTCTAAAGTCTCCAGCAACAAAACCTGAGGAATAGAAAAGAAACTCCAACTTTCTCATCCAAGGCTTGATTCTTTTCTACTCTGCCCAGGATTCAAACAAATGACACAAATATTCTTCTCTCTCAAAACTGTCTCCAGCTACGGCTAAGGTTTCAGTTCACAGAGACCAGGCATTTAGAATTTTTCCTTCTAGTTGCAGGTGCCTTGTGGAAGCTGAGGTCCTGTCCCTCAGTCCCATCCATGTTGTGCAATTCACTACAGTCCTGCAGGAACAAGGAACAGGGCCCTACGAAATAAAGTCTTGAAAGAAGGTTTCATTTTAGTACAGATTGCTATAATTCATTATATCTTAAAAGTTGGAACAGATGATTTCATCTAGCATCATTTTTGGACAATGATAATAGCAATACAAACACATATGTAATGCTTACTATTTGTCAGTTGCTGTTGTAAATCCTTTATCATATTAACCTTTTAACCTTTAAAACAACTATATGAATTAGGTGTACTATTAATGTCCCCATTTTACAGACGAGAAAACACAGGCATGCGAAAGTCAGATAACATGCATAAAGTCACACTGCTAGTAAGTTACAAAGCTTAGATTCAAACCCAGGCAAGCTGGCTCCACAATCCATAAGCTCTTTGTTAGGTCAGATTAAAAAGTACCTTTAAAAAAGACAAATTCACAACACCGAATGAATTCAACATGCAATCAAAGGTTATTATCAACGACCATTATAACCTGGCCAGATTGTAGACTATCACATCATAAAGGACTCTGAACAAATATTTCTAATTTTTCCCAAGATGTTAGTTCTGGAAGGACTCTCAGAGGTCATCTGGACCAGGGGCAGCAAATGGTCAGCAAGCCCCTGGCACCAGACCCACCGGCAGCCTCTTTATGTAAACGGTGCAGGATTTGAAACATATTTTTAAAATGTAAACGCTTTAAGGCGGGCACTCCCCAACTTTTCTCAGTTCCCACCTCTTCGCATCGCCTTATGTTGGGCTTCTCCATACATCCAAACAACTGTCTGGCTCAGGCTTGACACCCCTGCTCTGGTTTCATCCCTTACCCTTGCTCAGGGACAATATCGACCCCTTTCACCAATCTGAGAATTCTTCTCTAATGCATTACTGAGGTCAAGAGTGTTAAAAGTTGAGGAGGCTTGGGCAGGTTCCCAGGGCCAAATCCTGGCTTCTGCTCATCACGAGGTTACTTTGCTTTCTCTGATCCTTAGTTTCTTAATCTACAAAATGGGGATAATAATAAAACACTTAGCTAGTAGGTTTATTAGAGGTAATGAATTATCTTGGACTCGGAACAGCACCAGGCACATAATATGTACTGTACAGGTATAGCTATAATAAGAATAATAATTATTGTTTTAAAAATTATTACCACTGACTAAGCACTAATCATTTTTCTGTTATAATTACTGAAAAATACCATATGAGAAAGATGAAATTTTTGCTTCAACCCTTCTACTAATTGATTATTGAATCATGGTTTTGAAATTTTGTGGAACTCTTGGCCTAAACCAGGTTCATGCCCAGATTACCAATATTTACTTAGAAGCTGTTAATTAATTCACATTTTTGCTGCATATCTGGAAATTTCCTTTACTTATAGATTTGCTTACCAAATATTTCAATTATTATTCTTTTTGAGACAGAGTCTTGCTCTGTCACCCAGGCTGAAGTGCAGTGGCACAGTCTCAGCTCACTGCAACCTCCACTTCCTGGGTTCAGGCAATTCTCCTGTCTCAGCCTTCTGAGTAGCTGGCATTACAGGTGTGCGCCACAATATGCGGCTAATTTTTGTGTTTTTTAGTAGAGACAGGGTTTTGCCATGTTGGCCAGGTTGGTCTCATACTCCTGACCTCAAGTTATCAACCTGCCTCAGCCTCCCAAACTGCTAAGATTACAGGCCTGAGCCCCTGCCCCCTATTTTTTACCTTTTAAGTTCAGGGGTACATGTGCAGGTTTGCTATATATGTAAACTTGTGTCATGAGAGTTTGTTGTACAGATAAATAAAATAAAATAAAGAAAATAGACACTTTTGTTTCCCTCACAGGGAAATATAAACAAAAAAGACAAAATAAATTGAATTCCAGGTTGGGAGCAGTGGCTCATGCCTATAATCTCAACACTTGGGGAGGCCAAGGTGGGCATATCACTTGAGGTCAGGAATTCGAGACCAGCCTGGCCAATATGGCAAAATCTCGTCTCTACTAAAAAACACAAAAATTAGCCACATGTGGTGGCACACACCTGTAATCCCAGCTGCTTGGGAGTCTGAGGCAGAAGAATCGCTTGAACCCAGAAGCCGGAGGTTGCAGTGAGCTGAGATCGTGCCACTGCACTTTAGCCTGGGTAACAGAGAGAGTCTCCCTCTCAAAAAAAAAAAAAAAGCGTTTGCATAAGTTGTGTGACAAAACCAGGCCTGACATCTCTACTGGTTTGGATCAGCACCAAGCTGCCAGCTCAGACCTTGGAGCAGAGACACTACCCAAGAATTGCAGGAGGACCTCTCTTCTGGAAACCTGTCTGTTTTGGCAATCTACAAAAAGTAGAAGATGCTGTTTGAAATGTTTCCTTAGGGGCACGAAATTTAAACCCACCTCAGACTTTTTTTCTAGGAAGTGAGCATTTGGATTTTCATCTGATCCTCCCCAGAGCTGTCCATATAGAGTGTAACTCCTGGTGCCGGTGAGGATAAAGTTCTACGTAGAGGTTCTCCAACCACAGCGCGGAAAAGGCCTAGGGCATTCCCACAGGGTGTGGCCAGGAAGGCCGAGGCCCTGGAAGTCCCCTTTGTTCATTGTTGCTTTTGCAGCCCAGTCATCACCCAGGAGACTTTTCTTTCTTCAGTGCTGTGTAAATCATTTCACAGAATGGTCCTCTCTCCACCCAACCCCCAAAATAGAATTATAAGTAACGTGTTGATTTTTCCCTTGAATTCTATCATTACCTTAGTTTACTTTCAGAAGGAATGTCTGGCATGTCACCCGCTTTCAAACTCACTTATGATAAAAACTGAAGCACTGGCTGTTAACATGCCAGCAATAGACAGGGCTGTTGGTCCCTGTTCCCTGCCCTTTAAAAAATCTCCCCAGAGAGTTCTAATTATGTCAGCATTCACATTACAAGTTTAACTGTAAAATATAGCAATCAGGAAAAAAAATTTTTAACTCCCCTTTGTTCTTAATTGGTAAAGGAAAATGTCCATAAATGGAAATGGTTCAGTGTTTCCTGGATCGTCTGGGTAAATTCTCTGAGGCTGGCGGGACTCCAGAAAACAATGTTCTCTGAAGCAAAACCCTGGCTGAAGTGGCAAGCTTCCATTTTATGCACAAACGTATGTGGTGTGCCCACAGCTAGTTTTCAAGGAGCGATAGAGGCCAGACCAGAACTAAAATAATGCCTTTTATTTATTAAAGGGACATAATCCTTTTTCTGTGGTTGGCTGGTGGTACACCTGGGCCAGAGATATGGTGAGAAATCAACACATGAAGAACTTCATTTGCATCTTTTTTGGTGTAGCTATTATAGACAGAAATATTTAAATCAATTGTTAGCTTAACAATACAAAAAATGAGGCCAGACACAGTGGGTCATACCTGTAATCCCAGCACTTTGGGAAGCCGAGGCGGGCGGATCACTTGAAGTCGGGAGTTCAAGACCAGCCTGGCCGACACGGTGAAACTACATCTCTGCTAAAAAAAAAAAAAAAAATCAGCCAGGTGTGGTGGCATGCACGTGTAGTCTCAGCTACTTGGGAGGTTGAGGCAGGAAAATCGCTTGAACTTCGGAGGTAAAGATTGCAGTGAGTCGAGGTCGTGTCACTGCACTCCAGCCTGGGCAACAGAGCGTGACTCCATGTCAAAAAAAAAAAAAAGAGAGAGAGAGAGAGAAAGGGAAGGAGCACAGAGGAAAGGGGCACATACTGAGAGAAAGCAAAATAGACATAGAAAGAAACAAAACAAAACAGAGGGCAAAAGCTTCTGAGAGAGGGACATTTAGTAGATTTCAAGAGTGTGTCAGCTGTTGTGTTCCCATAAACTGAAATTTGGTCACCCATGCATCTGTGAAATGTTGATTAGTAGGTGAAACATTGCCCCTGGTTCCTCAACCATGCTTATGCTTGGGCCACAGATATTTGGATTTGAATGAGAGAGGCAAAGGAGACCACTGCAGTGAAAATTCTTATCTGTATTGTAGTGATGGAGGTCAGGGCTGTATCACATGCCGACTTGACAAGATAAGCTAGAAATGAGGGGTGGCGGGGAGGGTGGGGAGGGATAACATGGGGAGAAATGCCAGATATAGCATGCACCTCAAGTTAAATTAAAAAAAAAAAAGAAATGAGAGGTGGCTATCCTTAGATCAGAGATCCTACCTTTGCCTTTGTAAAGAAGAAATAAATTCAAGAAACAATGTTTCTAAATGTATTTGTAAATAATAAAATTAAATTATTTTTTAATAATTTTAATAATTTTACAAATTTATTATTTAATAAAATTAATTTAATTTTATTGTTTACAATAAATAAAACAAATTATCATTATTCAACTACAATATTAAAACAAATACACTCTTCATATAAAAAAAAAGTTTGAATTGGATCTTTAATAAAATATGACATGCCTATTCCTTAACATATACTATACTCTATCGTCACCCCTAGGCAGCAGGTAAGCAATAAGCAAGGTTTGGCTATTAGGGGTACATTTTCCTTGTCATATTACCTTTTGTTATTCTTCAGTGTATGACGACTTCAGATTCTTATGCAACATCCTTTTATATCGTCCAATCAGGTCTTGTATGGTTTTCTGTTGGTCTGATACCTTAATCCAGATATAAGAGCACTTTATTAAGTAACTCAACTCTTGAACGCCTTAGAACAATTGGAAGTTATTTTCGGCATAGTGGAAAGAGTCTGTGCCATGTACAACAGCTCAGGAATTTAGCAGCTATATCCCCGAACTCAGCTTTTCTAGGGCTTGCTTACACAGAAATCCCCAAACATTCCTGCGTGGTTCTTTTACAGGAAACCTGCAGATTGGTTATTCCACTGTGCTGCAATGATGGACAGAGCTACAAATAATCACAGAAAAATCTAGAGATCTTCCTCACTAACCTAAAAATTTCTCATCCCCGCAACCTAAAAATTTCTTATTGCCTCAATATGTTTATTTAGAGTTAGTAGGAAAATTATTTCAGTGATTCAGTCAACTTAAACCAAAATGACACATTTGCCTCAACCACCTGGCTATTTTAGGAGAATTTATTTTAGGACTGAATTATTTGGACAATTATTTCAGTGCTCTGTTTTTTTATTGTGTGAATACAAAGTAAAACAGGTTTAATTGTCATCACTTTATCAGATTAACTAATGCCTTTGCTATTTTCTTTTCTCAGTGTCCTCTATTAATACAACCCTTAGAATTAACTTAGAAAATTTCAGCTTAAGCAGAATATGGCTACTTGGTTTTGCAACAGAATTGTTTATATGGAATTGAATACATCTGTGTGTCTCAGGTAAACATAAAACAGTGTGAAAGGAAAGGAAAATAAATCTTGGGACTCCCCCAAATCACTAAGCCAAAGGGAATAGTCAAGCTGGGAACTGCATTACACAAATCCTGCCTCCCATTTTGTTTCTAAATAAGATAGTTACAAAGATAAAAAAGCTACAGGCCAGGTGAAGTGGCTCATGCCTGTAATCCCAGGACTTTGGGAAGCCAAGGCGGGTAGATCATGAGGTCAAGAGATCGAGACCATCCTGGCCAATATGGTGAAACCCTGTCCTTACTTAAAAAATACAAAAATTAGCTGGGCATGGTGGCACACACCTGTAGTCCCAGCTACTTGGGAGGCTGAGGCAGGAGAATCACTTGAACCTGGGAGGTGGAGGTTGCAGTGAGCCAAGATCGTGCCACTGCACTCCAGTCTGGTGACAGAGCAATAAATAAATAAATAAATAAATAAATAAATAAAAAGCTACATACCTCCCTCACAATTTGCCCTCTAGGAAATTCCTGTGGGCCCCAAGATCAAGTTCTGTTGAATTTCACCCTGACAAGGTACACTGATGGCTTATCTTCACGGGTACAGGACAGAGGACAGAACTTAAAGTCATCCCTCTACTCACCTGAGACAAATGCATTTCTGATCACTTCCTCTGCCATGTATTTATCTGCTATAAAAATGCAGATTCACTGAGCTAGAAGAATACATAAATGACTATTTCTCTACCCACCCTTGCATGTGAACTGTTAATCGAAGACTCAAAAGAATGCAACTGTTTGCCTCTTATCTACACTCATCTTTAAAAAATTCCTCCCTCTTTCCCTAATACCCACCTTTTCCCCTTTAAATATTGAAGCCCTCAAAATCATCTTTGGAGAAAGGCATAGATCTGTCTTCCAGGTGTAAATTGTCCTTAACTTTGGCTTCTAAACTTCTAAATTGATTGAGATCTGCCTCAGATACATTTTTGGTTTACAGTGAATTATACTTCTGCTGAAAATTTTACACACACATGGATATGTATTACTTGAGCTCTACTAGAAAATCTCCTTTTAAGTAAGATTTGGGGGACTTTGGTTGATTTAGTTTCTAGGTTTTAATCTTGCACTCTAAATTATCTTTTAAAAGGGGTGGAGGGTGCAATTCTAAATCTTTGGACCCTTCAAGGCCTAATGTAAAACCCATCTTAGAAGAAACTGTCTCATTGTTATCTGCACACTAATCTTTCCTGTTGGAAATTTCTGAAGAATTTTTGTTAACTTGATAAATACATTTATTTTAATAAAAATTATTTTAATGAGCTTCCTTTTAGAACCAGATCTTGTCTAACTAGTCAACCACATTGTTGATTTTTCCTCTGAAATACAGACAGACCTGAAAGAGTGATAACAGAAAATGCCATGTTGATTCAGACCAATGTGGCCTTACATCGAACCAAGCTGTATCTGACAGAAGCAGCAGCGGATGTTTTGGGAGTGGCTTGCTCTCATTACACCAACTTCAATGTTTAGGAAAAGTCTAAAAGATCCTGATATTCCCTAATTCACATGCTATGGAATTATCATCCAAAAATTTAACCAACTCTTTTAAATATCTGTATTTTCTAGGTGTTGTTGGTCTGATATATAAAATCAGCTCTCTTTTATTATATTATTCATACAAGGACCTCACAACTATCACTGGTTCTAGTGCTTTCGGAGTTGCTAAATCCTTTTTTCCAGTCTCTTAAGATTTTATAAACTTTATTCATATGTTCCTTTGCCTTTCAGGCTGAAAAAAATCCTACTTTTAGACTCTTCCATAATCCTGTCCTGGTGATGATTTTGGTTACTTTCCTTAGGAAGTTTCTAAGCTTTCCCATGGGTCTTGACAATGAACAATCAGATTGTAAGAATTTCTTACATTTGAATACACTGCAGCTTGTATACTGGGGCATAACTTTTTCTGATGGTGGTGGGAGAGTGTTCCAGACAGGTCACCTAGTATGATTAAGTCCAGCACCTGGCATCTGGCACAGGACGGTTCAGAGGGTGGGACTAGCAGAACACTGAAATTCAGCACAGAGGTTACCTTGCCATGCCATGCACCCTGGCACAGGCCTGCATGCATCTAGAGGAAGGAAAACTTTTCTCTAATTGCTCTGTTCAGAGAGGCTCTTTTAATTTAATTTTATGTTTTATTTTTAAGGGTCCATAGTAGGTATACATATTTATGAGGTACCTGAGATACTTTGATATAGGCATGCAATGTATAATAATTATGTCGTGGAAAATGAGGTATCCATCCCCTTAAGCATTTATCCTTCATGTTACAAACAATGCAGTTATACTCTTTTAGTTATTTTTAAATGTATAATCGAATTATTATTGACTATAGTCACCCTGTTGTGTTATCAAATACTAGATCTTCCTCATTCTTTGTAACAATTTTTTTTTGTACCCATTAAACATATCCACTTTTCCTCTACTCCGTACTACCCTTCCCAGCCTCTCGTAACCAATCTTCTACTCCCTGTCTCCATGAGTTCAATTGCTTTGACTTTTAGCTCCCACAAATAAGTGAGAACATGCAAAGTTTGCCTTTCTGTGCCTGGTTTATTTCACTTAACACAACGACTTCCAGTTCCATCCAAGTTGTTGTAGATGACAGGATCTCATTTTTTTCTTATGGCTGAATAGTACTATATTGCGCATACATGCCACATTTTCTTTATCCATTCATCCGCTCATGAACACTTAGGTTGCTTCCAAATCTTGGCTATTGTGAACAGTGCTGCAACAAACATGGGAGTGCAGATATGTCCTTGATATACTGATTTCCTTTACTTGGGGGTGTATCCAGCAGTTGGATTGCTGGGTCATATGGTAGCTGTATTTTTAGTTTTCTTGAGGTACCCAGAGAAGCTTCTTTTTGCTAGCCCTCTGCCTGGAGGGGTCACATTTTCTAATTTGCACCCAAGTGTCTGCTGAGCATGCCTTGGCCCTCCTCCTCCGCCATCAGCAGCAAATGAAAACCAAAGGATCAGTCTACATGACTTCTTGGTATGAAGCTGATAATTCAGATTCCATCATTTAATAATTCCAGTTTGGATTGTTTTTAATATAATGCCAGTTTTCATTGAATTTCATATTTCATCTTTCTGCTTACTCTAGTTCTTATGAGCTTTTCCAAAAGGTTTCTTTTTCTCTGCACTGATTTCATATTCAGCATCAACTTCAGTGAAATACCATCTGGAAGATTAAACCATATATTATGTGTTCCAGGTAATTTGCAATCATTGTAGAAAACATTGCTTACCATACCAATCTTTGGGGGATATCTCTTCCAACACATTTTCCTTCACCCAAAAAAAAAAACTGCCCATTCTCTCTAAGCAGTTCTGTACGTATAGCAAAATGTTATCTCTAGTTCTGGGGGTGCTTAAATTTTTAAAATAATTTTTGGTGTAGAATCTTAGTAATTTTTTGAACATCTAGACAAATGGCTATTCTTCTATCTTATCTTTATTGATGTTCCCAAAGAGCCATTTTAGTGTGATCCTGTCTCCAGAAAACCATGCTTCCTTTTCCAGAGTAGGTTGCTTGCCTACCTTTATGAGAGATTCTATCAGACTGACACCCTGTCTGTATAGGGGAATTAGAATCTCAGGCAGCTCTATCCAGTGAAAATTTCTGCAATGATGGAAATGTTCTATATTTGTGCTCCCTAATAGGGTAAGCACCAGCCGCATGTGTAATGTGACTGAGGTGCTGAATTTTTAATTAAATTTTAATTTTAATAGCCATTTGTGGCAAGTGACTACTTAATTGAATAGCACAGGTCCAAGGCCTTCTCTGGAACCTTTTTCATAAACAGGCATCACGCCAAGTCCCTCCTTCACACTGACTGCTTGTAACAAAATGCTGCTGCTGCTTGTCAGCAGTCCCATAGCTTCGCCCCCAAGTTCTTGTGAAATTATCTTGTGTGTTACATAAATTTTTCTGACCCTGAATTTTTATTAGTAAATATTACAGTTTTGTTTTGTTCTCCTTAGATAAGGCCTTGCTCTGTCATTCAGGCTGGCGTGCAGTGGTGTGATCACAGCCCACAGTAGCCTCAGCCTCCTGGGTTTAGGTGATTCTCCCACCTCAGCCTCCCAGGTAGCTGAAACTACAAGCACACGCCATGAAGCCCAGCTAATTTTTTAATTTTTTGTAGAGATGGGGTTTCACCATGTTGCACAGGCTGGTCTCAAACTCCTGTGCTTAAGCAATCCACATGCCTTGGCCTCCCAAAGTGCTAGGATTACAGGCATGAGCCATTGCACCCAGCCCCACTTTGATCTTTCTAATAAATGACTACTCAACTGTTTAAGACTACAAATCAGCTTGATGAATAGTAAGGGATCTTAAATATTACTGTCTTTGGTATGCTGGGGTCAGTCGGGCTTGTCAGAGAGTCTATAGGCTGGGGAGTCTTCCAGTGTTCCCATCTTTCTCATCTTCCTCAGAATAAAACCCAAAGTCATTCTGTGTCCTTTCAGGTCTTACGTGATAGGCCCTGTTCCACCTCTCCAACTCACCCTCTGCCATTCTCTCCCTCATCCTTTCTGCTCCAGCCACTCTGGTCCCCGTGCTGTTTTCCAAACCAAGAAGCAAACTCCACCTCCAAGCTCATCCCCACCTGAGGGTACCTACAATCACAGACCACCTCCTGCCCCTGCCTAGTTAGCTTCTATTCCTTTCCTTTGCTTTATGTTTTTTCTTATTACTTATCCCACCCAACATAAGATTCATTATTTATTATTTGTCTCCTCTTATAGAATATAAGCTTCATGATGGCAGGGACTTTGCGTTGTAGCAAGCATGAAACAGCGCCTGCCTCTTAGTAGGCCCTCAGTAATATCTTTTTGAATGAATAAATGATACATGTTTTGTACTTATTTTATAAGGTTGAATCACTCACCTTTCTATATCTAAGTTTAAAGGAGAGAAGTTGTACCTTATTAAATTACCCCTTAAGAATGTTAGGAAAGGCTGGGTGCACTGGCTCATGCCTTTCCTAATTTTGGGAGGCCGAGGCAGGCAGATCACCTGATGTCAGGAGTTCAAGACCAGCCTGGCCAATATGGTGAAACCTCATCTCTCTAAAAATACAAAAATTAGTCAGGTGTGGTGGTGGGTGTCTATAATTCCAGCTACTCAGAAGGCTGAGGCAGGAGAATCACTTGAACCCAGGGGGCAGTGGTTGCAGTGAGCCGAGATCACGATGCTTCACTCCAGCCTAGGTGACAAGAGACTCTGTCTAAAAAAAAAAAAAAGTTAGGAAGATAATTAATGTTATTCAGATTTGACCTGCTGGAGGACAAACTATTCCAAAACTCAAGTTTTTTATTTTATTGAAATAATCCCAAGCCATACATTCATACAACTAAAATGAATATAGAAGAATGGCATACAACTATAATAGAAATTGTATAAGAACCAGTAAACTTCAAAATGAGATAACGCAGGGCACAATAGCTCATGCCTTTAATCCTAGCACTTTGGGAGGCCTTAAGCGGGTGGATCACCTGAGGTGAGGAGTTCGAAACTGGCCTGGCCAACATGGTAAAACCCTGTTTCTCCTAAAAACACAAAAATTAGCCAGGCATGGTGGCGAATGCCTGTGGTCTCAGCTACTCAGGAGGCTGAGGCAGGAGAATTGCTCGAACTCAGGAGGCAGAGGTTGCAGTGAGCCGAGATCATGCCACTGCACTCCAGTTTGGGTGACAGAGCAAGACTCCATCTCAAAAAAAAAAAAAAAAAAGAGAGAGATAATTCTTATGCTGATGCTTATAAATCATTCCTTATATTTAGATTGTGAAGATTAAGAAGGGAAGAGACTTGCACGTAGACCAAGGGTGTTAATGGAAGGCAGAGGGAAAGTTCAAATCTTTAACGCGTCTTTGCATTCAAGTTCTTGGTCTCAGCACAGGGAAAGCGACCTTCAATCCAGGTATTCCACAGTGCCATAAATTAAGGGTCATTTAATCAAAACTTCTGCTACACTTTAAATGTTTGTCCCTTCCAAAACTCATGTTAAAATTTAATTGTCATTGTAATGGTATTAAAAGGTATGACCCATAGAGGTGAGTAGGCATTAAACCACCCCCATGGGTCAGTTTAATTCCTTGCAAAAAGGGGTTTTAGGAATGGGTTCTCTTTCTTGGCTCCTTTGCTCTTCTGCCATTTGAGGAAAAATGTTCCTCCCTTCTGGCTAATGCAACATTTAAGGTGCCATCTTGGAAGTGATAATCCAGACCTTTCCAGGCACCAAACCTACCAGCACCTTGATCTTGAACTCCCAGCCTCCAGAACTATGAGAAGTAAATTTCTGTTGTTTATCAATTACCCTATTTCTGGTATTCTATTATAGCTGTACAAAACAAACTGAGACATCTTCCCTGTCCCCTGGGAAACCCACATTTACCACTTTAGGCAGTTAAAAAGTTAGTTTTTATTCTCTTTTTCATGTTAATTTTTAATGATGGGAAGGAAATTTTATGGCAGCAGATGTTAACTAACTCACTTCAATGTTTGCAAACTTTGAGAGCCATAAACTTATTTTTAAACTTTCCATCAGCTGGGGATACATTTATCTGCAAGTAACAGAAATCTTAACTGAAAATGGCATTTATAATAAGCACATTTACAGGCTTACATGTGGAAAATCCTGAGGATGAATGGGAAATAGAGTTAAATTATCCTGTAGTTCAATAATAATATCATCAAAAATATAAGCTCTATCTTTGTCTTTCATCATCCACTTCATCCGAAAGCTTGTTCCCCTCATAGTTGTAGATTGGGTGCCAGCAGCAATCAAGGTTGGACATGTGCTTATTTTTGCAAACAGGAGAGATCAGATCCTCTCCCTCAAACTCAAAACAAAAATCTTTCTTGATTGAGCCTATCATATGCCATCTCTGAACCTAATTATCACCAGGAAAATGCTTTGTGCTGATTGGTTTAAGCCTAGGTATGCTAATCACTGGCAAAAGGGATGGGATGGTTACGACTGGTTTAGGCCAGAGGTCAGCAAACTGTAGATCCAGGCCAAATCCTGCTTGCCAGCTGTTTGGGGGAAGTTTTATCAAAACACAGCTATGTCTTCCTTTACATATTGTTTATGGCTACTTTTACTGCAACGACAGAATTCAATAGCTCTAACAAAGACCATGAAGCCCCAAAGCCTCTACTATTTACTCTCCAGCCCTTTACAAAAAAAGTTTGCCAAGCCCTGGTTTACATTAACGTGGGTCTACTTCAGCCCTGTGTTTAATTCCCTCAACTATGATCCTCCTACACAGAGAAGGAAAGTTTGGACTCCATGTGGATCTCCTCCCATGTCAACCGAAGGTTATTTTTTTCTTTGGTTCTTTCCTAAGCAAAGCTGAAAAAGAACTGAGCACCCAAGTTTCAGAATGAAAGCCTTTACTTTCAAAAGCCCATTGACTCCACCCGTATTTCTGTCTTTCAGAGTGATGAGTATCCGTTCCTGACATTGATCTGTGTTCCAACCTTGGCTGTATATTGTTTTGTTGGATTAACTTGAAGTTATTTTTTAATTCCATGGAACCAGACTATCCAAACCATCTGCCAGATCTTCAACCCACCAACAGAGTTAGATGGAATTCCCCAGAGTCCTGCTGCAGTCATAGAAGAAACATCAGCCCTAAAAGCAGGGCACTGCTTTGCAATGCCTGGTCAGCCACAGGCAGAATGGCTCCTCTCCACGTTCACATTAATGATTTTCTTTTTTTCTCTTTATTTTTTTGAGTTGGAGTACTGCTCTGTCGCCCAGGCTGGAGTGCAATGGCATAATATTGGTTCACTGCAACCTCCGCCTCCCAGGTTCAAGCGATTCTCCTGCCTCAGCCTCCCCAGTAGCTGGGATTACAGGCATGCACCACCACGCCCTGCTAATTTTTGTATTTTTAGTAGAGACAGGGTTTCACCATGTTGGCCAGGCTGGTATCTAATGTCTGACCTCAGCTGATCCACCCACCTCAGCCTCTAGCAGTGCTGGGATTACAGGCGTGAGCCACTGTGCCCAGCCTCGCATTAATGATTTTCCAGGTAGGTAAGTGATTTCCTGTCCAAACAGCAATCTAGCCTTTCTTTTAAAAATAGCTTTTCTCATTTATTTTTATTATGAAAAGAGCAATGCATGTCCATTGTAGAAACATTAGAAACACAGACAACCAAAGGACAAAAAAAAAAAAGAAAACTTGTCACCTTCCCACATTCCCAGGAAACTTTAAAAGTAAACAGTATGTTCTAGAGATGCAGTCTTCCCTCCAAATGGTCTGAACTAGCTTTGACTTTTCCAGCGGGAAGTCAAAATGGAAGACTTTATTTTTTAGCTCCTACATTCATGAAGTTACTAAATGGGCCTATTCTTTGACTAGCCTTTCCAAGGGTCTTTATTAAATCGTGAACTTTCTGTTTAAAGAAATTTATGGAAAAGGGCAGGATTTGAGAAGTTGCTGTTTTGAATAACTTATTGTTACGTACATCTTTGAGAGTCTTACGTACATCTCTTTCAAACAAGAAAGAGAACCTATTTCTCTTCATTTGGACTAGTACATCCAATTCTATCTCATTTTGTAAATAAAAGGGTGCCAACTTTTATGAAATATAGGGTTGGGAAAGTATGCTCAGCTTCACAAATCCTCACTTAGGCACACCTGTGGGTTTACTAATGCTTATTATAGAAACCACTTGAAAATGCCCCGACGCTGGTTTGTTTTCAAGACATCAAATGGGAACAACATTAGTTTTAGGGCTAGAATTGACTATAGGCTGGGATTCAGTATCTTCCAGGTCCTGCAGTGATCTGAGTGTAGGATTTGGGCCAACGCTGTAATTTTAACCAGGCATTACTTCAGAGAGCGGTGTTTTTCCCCTGCTCCAAGCACCCACCCCACATCCGTTATTTTTTTGATGGAGTCTACACAGTACAGCTGACACCATGGGTTGTAGTGAACTTGACCATTCTTATCCTAAGGATAATTCTGTTTTAAAAAAGTATGAGCTTCTGAATACCTGGAAGAGAAGTGAACGAGGTCAAAAGCATGCTGGCTCTGGAACCCAGGCTGTCTGAATTTGAATCCTAGCTTCATCCTTACAGGCAAGGGAACTTCGGCGAGGTCCTTGACTTCTCTAGGTCTCATTTTCTTCATGGATACAGTATTTCATAGTGTTGGCTGCTGTGAAGGAGAAAGGCAACACGTGGGCTACAAACTTAAGCCCAATATACTATGTAAGTATTAGCCCTACCATTATGGGGGAGCGGGGAGGGGGAGTCACATCCAGAATGGGGAAGCTGGGAGCTCTGAAATGCACCTCTCTTCACAACATCACCTGCTGCATCATCCATATTTACAAGGTTCCAACTACCCAGAACTGCGCAATTCATGACTAGACTTTCTGCATCAGGCTGACTCTGTGAAAGCAGGGGTGGGTGGTGTGGGTGGGGTGGCTGGAGTGTTGTCTTTCAGTCAAGTAATTTTTTCCTTAAACAGATTTTTTTTTTTTCACAGCTATAAATTTACAGAAGATTGAGAATATAACTGAATTCCCACACACGGCACATTCAGTTTTCCCCATTACTAGGGGAATTATTAGCATGCCACATTAGGAAGGTACATTTGTTACCATTAATCAACCAATATCGGCACATGATTATTAAGGTTTATATTCTCTTCATACATTCTTCAGTTTTTACCCAATGTCCTTTTTCTGCTCTAGGGTTCCATCCAGGATAGCACCTTACACTTGCTTGTCACCTTAGACTGCTCGTGGCTGTGACAGCTTCTCAGACTGTCCGTGTTTTTGAGGGCCTTGATAGTTTGGAAGAGGAATGGTCAGGCATTTTGTAGAACATCCCTCAGTTGGGATGCGTCTGATATTTTTCTCATCATTATAATGGAACGGGGTTACTGGTTTTGAGAGGAAGACCACAGAGGCAAGTGCCATTTTCATTTCATTGTGTCAAGAGTGCATGTTATCAGGGTGACTTCTCACTGTTGGGGTGACTCTGGAGCCCCCGGGTGAAGCAGAGTTTGTCATGTTGTCCACAGTAACGTCCCTCTCCCCGCCCTTTTTCATACTGTGCTCTGAGGGGAAGTGGCTCTGTGCTGCCCGCACTTGAGGAGTGGGAGTTACCCTGCACCTCCTTCAGGACAGAGTAGCTACAGAGGTCATTTGCCATTCTTCTATGGGAGATCTGTCTTTTCTCCTCAAGTAAGTTTTCCCATCCAGTCTTTGCTTGAATGAATTATTTTACTTTCACTGAACACTGGCCAAAAAATAGCATGAAGCCGATTCCCCCAGATTGATGGAATTTTCTGTTGAGTGCCACAGTTGGCAGATCTGGAATTAGTAATTCCTTGCTAACCCTACATGGAAAGACCCAAAAATGAATAAGGACTTAAAAATAAAATGAGTGGGATGGTCAAAACCAATATAAATGAATCGCTGTGAGCCAAATGGAAAATCATCCTTTGGCAAGTTCCAACCAGTTACCTCTGCATGTCCTGAGAATGTGCTTTCAGTGTTCCAGGACACTGGGCACCCTTTGGAGGCATGCATCCTGCCCCTCCCCCAAAAGGAGGCAATCTCTATGCCTCCCTTAAAACACACATGCTCAGACTGTCCTAGCATTCCCATGCTCTTAAAAATCACCCCCCCCACACACACACCCTTTTATTTATGTATTTATTTAGAATAAAAGCCATGTCTTACTTAGAATAATTTGCTGGGTAGCCAAAAATCCACTTGAACATTTTCTTAGAGAGACTCCTTCCTTGTAAAACTAAAAAGTATATGCTTTGGGGCTGTGCATTTGAAAGAAAATGGGAGAAGATTATTGTTGGATCAGCCTGTCAAGTTTCTACATCTGTTTGGTCAAACAGTGGCTACCATTATCTTCATTCTATCAGTATATATATATTTTTCTCTGAAAGCAATTCAAAATTTGCTCCCCATACATGAAACTCACAGACATACATTTCTCCAAAGTTTACCTTGAGATGGAAAGGCCTCTAATGTGCCAGCAGGTTCCCTGCACCCACCCCCTCCTTGTGTCGGGCACAGCCTAGTTGCAGCATTCCACGGCACTGACACATCTCCTTGGAAACCTACCCATTGCCTGGTATATAGCAACCTGCATTCCCCAGTGGCAGAGGCCTTGATTCCTGTCTTATCCTGTTCTTCTGTGCTTTCACACACATCTGAGGACAGGCCTTCCTTTTGATCTATTATCTCAGGCCATTAAAATGAGCAGAAAGAAAAAAAGCCCTTGAACAGTGCCAGTGTAATTGTGGCGAAGATTCTTAAAAAGAATTATCATGGCCATTTCAGAGCCTCGTCAATTTCCCCATTTCCTGTAAATGCAGCAAATGGAGAACTGCCAGAAAGTTCAGGGAAGAAGACGTTGGGCTTGCCAGTGGTTTCTGGCCAACTAAACCCCTGCTGACAGTATTTTTCTAAAGGATGGCACTTCGTTTCCAGATTAGGCACACTCACACCTTCATTTATTTCGGATCTCGTTCATTCTTAACCGTTATTTTTATTCAGCACTACAGTTAATACAGACAGTATAAGTCAAAGTTTTGCTCACCCTTTGCTCACTTGGGAATTTTAGAAATCTTTATTTTTTAAAATGAGATTATTCATATGAGCTTGTATTCTTGAGATATTTTTTCTTTTTAATTAACTAAACTGCTCGGCGGGATTGGGGGTGGAGGGGAGGGATCCAGCCAATCTAAGGGCTTTGATTAATGTTTTATAGGTATGTAGTGTACCTATAGAGGTACACTAAAAGAATACCAATTTGCAGAATGCATATGCAACCACAAAAGGAAATGCAGTAATCTGATATTTGGTTAGATTAAATCAGATATCCCTATTTAAACCACTGGCTTTACAGAAATTACTCAAGTGTACTTCATCAACCCCAAGCATGTACGCTAGGGTTCATGTGGGATTTAAACCCACCTTTTTGTATCAAGGAGTCTCATCAAGTGTCTGTCACGTGTCTATGTGCAGGATGCAAAGAGCCGGGGCATCCATGAGTCACGATGTGTCATTCATGGCCTATGGACTGCCAGTGAACAAAAATTTCATTAGGCTTTATTTGAGAAATAAAACTTCTGAACAATGTACTGAAGTAGCTTCAACTAGGACAGGATTGAGAGAAAAGTGTGATTACTTAACCAAATAAATTATCTAGTAAAACACCTCCCTCAGCTCCTCACTACTGTGACCCCATCTAGACGGTGCCATTTTAATCAACTGTACTTCTTCCACAACCTGTTTCGAGCACCCCATCTCTAATCACCACTGCTGATTCTTGAGTGCTCAGACTTTAATAATACCTCCACCCTGGAGCCACGATCCATTGAACCTGCCACCTTTGCCCTTCTCCCATCTTCCCTTACCATCGCAGCCCTCCTAACCCATTTTAAATTCCATGGTCAGTCATTAGAGTCTGTCCTTCACACACACCCACAACTTGCTGCCTCACTTTGAATTCATGTTCATTAACTTCAAGGGGTTCTTAAGACACCTGGCCATCAGATCCATTTCCCCAACCCATTGCTCTCCTGTTCTCCTCAAAGACCATTTCACACTTTCCCTTTTTCTTCAAGCCTTCCACATCTCCTTTCTCATGTCACTCTCTGCTAATGACTTATTTCCTAAGACACTTATTTCCTAAGACTTATTTCCTAAGGAAATAAGACACTTATTTCCTTCTACTGCCACATCCCACAATTTGCCTACCTCCACCTTCCCCACCATTACATAGCCCATCTCAGGCCAACAGGAGGGCCCCTCCCTCACCCTCATCAAGGACAGCACTCAGGGATTCACTACCTGCATCATTGGTTTTTCTCTCTTCTAGGATATTGCCTACCTACCTACAAACATGCTGTTGGTTTTTCCCATCTTGAAAAAACAAAACAGGCTGGGTGCACCGGCTCATGCCTGTAAACCCAGCACTTTGGGAGGCTGGGGAGGGCAGACCATGTGGTCAGGAGTTCGAGACCAGCCTGACCAATATGGTGAAACCCCATCTCTACTAAAAATACAAAAATTAGCTGGGTGTGGTAGCGTGTGCCTGTAATCCCAGCTACTCAGGAGGCCGAGGCAGGAGAATCTCTTGAACCTGGGAGGCAGAGGTTGCAGTGAGCCGAGATCACACCATTGAGCCTGGGTGACAGAACAAGACTCAGTCTCAAAAAACAAAAACAAAAAAACAAACAAACAACAAAAAAAAAACTGCCTCGAACCCACACTATACTTCAGCTTCTGCCCTATTTTCCTGCTCCCCTCCATGGCAATTAGGTTTTTGCCTCCACTATTCCAGTGAAACTGCCTATACCCAGGTTTCCAGGGCCTTCCATGTTGTAAACTCAATGGCCAATTCTCAGCCATAATCTCCTTGGCTCTGTCAGCATCATTTAACATAACTGATCATTTCTTTCTCCTTAAAACACTTTCTTTTCTTGGTTTCCAAGACATTGTGCTCATGAGGCATCTCCTTCTCAGTCTACTTTGCTGAATCCTTCTCTCTCGGCCTCTTCACATAGAAGTGGCCTCTTACTGTAGAAGCAGCACTGGAAGCTCAGGCCTTCAATCTCTTTTATGTCCATGCTCAATCCTTTGGTTTTCCCACCTAGTTTCAACGCTTTAAGGATATCTGCTGATGACTTTCAAATTTATGTCTTCAGCCTGCTTGCACAGCTGTCCTGAACACAACGCTCATTCATCCAACTGCACAATCAAAATCTCCATTTAGATGGATAATTAATATCACCAATATAATAGACACAAAGCTGAACTCCTGCGGTTCTGTGACCCTAGACATCTGCCTCGGTCTTCCCTATCCTTGCTCAGTCCAAGCATCTTAAAGTCATTCTTGACTCTTTTCTGTCACAGCAAATCTTGCTGTCTTACTCTGCCTTCAGATCATAATCAGAATTGGATCACTTCTCATCAGCCTCCACTGCAATCACCTTGACTCCAGCCCCCCTTGTCTTTGCGTGGGTTACTGTCATTGCATCCCCTCTCTCTCCCTATTTTTGCCCTTGTCTCACTTTGGTCTACCTTTAACACAACTGCCAGACAACTCCTATTATAGTATGACTCAGGTCATGTCATTCCTTGTTATAGAGGCATCCAGGGCATTCTATCTCACTCTGAGCAAAAGCCAGTCTTTGTAACGGCATCAAAGCTAACACTACGTGTCCTGCCCCACCTCCCACCCCATGAGTCTCACTGTCCTCCTTCTCCCACAGCCCAGCCATGGGCCACTTCTACTGCCAGACCTTTGCCCTTGCTGGTGCCTCTACCTGGAACGTGCTTTCTCTAGATATCTATGTGGATCCAGTCTTCAATCAAGTGCCATTTCCTTAAAGGGGCTTTCTCTACCACCTTGTATAAATTTGCAAGCTCACCCTACCCCCAAACATGTTCTTCCCAACTTTATTTTTTCCCAACTTTATTTTTCTTCACAGAACTTTCTCCGCTAGTAGACATTGGTATGCAACTTAGGGGCAGTATAACAGGGAGGTGGAGATATGGGTAGGTCCTAGAGTCAGTTTGCCTGAGTTCAAAGCTTGACTGTTCATGTACCAGGTACTCAAGATGGAATCTCTCTATTCTTCACTTTGAGAATAACAATAGTGCCCATTTCGTCAGGTTGCTGGCTTAATATCTGTAAAGTGCTTAGAACAGCATCTGGACCATATTAAGGGCTACACGGTTAGCTAACACTGTATATATTTCATCTATCTTTTTTTTTTTTTATCCTGCCTCCCCCCACTGGAATATGAGTTTCATAAGGACAGGCATTTTTGTCTGTTCTGTATGCCACTATAGCCTCATCACGTAGGATAGAGCCTCACACAGAGCTGCTTCTCACCACATAGTTGTAGAACGGCAGGTCATTGTAGCTTCTTAGGCACTCAAGAGTCAGTAAGGAAAACTTGCTAAAAATTTTCTTAATATAATGATGTGCACTTTAACAAAAACTAGAGTTCTGTTGCAGACATTGGCACTGGCCTAGATAAATCTGTTAATCATTCACAGACAGCAAGCCTCTTCTAGATTATTTCCGAAAGTCACAGAAAAGACTGTTGGAATGCTAGGTGGGCATGCGCCCATTCTATTTTAGTACTAGGTCAATAGCTATCAAAAATATAATTTTCTTTTTTGAGACAGAGTCTCGCTGTGTTGCCTAGGCTGGAGTATGGTGGTATGATCTTGGCTCACCGCAACATCTGCCACCCGGGTTCAAATGATTCTCCTGCCTCAGCCTTCTGAGTAGCTGGGATTACAGGCACACACCACCATGCCCTGCTAATTTTTGCATTTTTAGTAGAGATTGGGTTTCACCATGTTGGTCAGGCTGGTCTTGAACTTCTGACCTCGTGGTCCACCCTCCTTGGCCTCCCAAAGTGCTGGGATTACGGGCGGCATGAGCCACCACACCTGACCCAAAATAATTTTTTTTAATAAAAGGGATCTAACTGAGGTGTACTAATCATAAATCAAAACCTCTCTTCCTTTGAGCTGGAGCTGCAAGGAAAAAATAAATAAATATCAAAAAAATAAAAAACACAAAACCTCTCTCGGTGTTTTCTGACCAGAGTATTCTTCACAGTGCCACTTTAGGAGTGTAAATATCCATAGAGTACTCTGTGGCCCCCAGTCAAATGGGATCCAAAAATATAGGACACGATTATTCTGTGCCATCTCCTGAGCTCCAGGAAAAAAGACTCAGAAGCGTAAGCTGAAGAGTTCATATCTTTCAACTCACTGAAATAGCATTGTTTTGGTTGTTGTTACTGTTTTGTTTTCATAAAAACAAACCCAGCACCAAGTCCTGGCTGAAAAGTCAGGGTCTAAGTCCTTGCTGTTCAGTTTGTGTTCTGTTTGGTACGATATACACTTGGAGCAGGCTCGGGTCTGAGAGCAACCCCAAAACTACCATTTCTGATATGCAATTTGATAAGGATGGAGGCAGATGGAATTCTCTTTTAAGAAGTGATCTTTAAGAATTGAGTTTTGCCTCTTCCATTTTCAAGACTAAAAGGCTTAACTGAAAAGATAGTGAAGGCTCCGCCCAATCCAGCCATTCATAGGTGAACACATGCCTCGGGCTCTCTTTCTTCCTTTGGCAAAAGTCTGATTCTGTAGCCTCTGGCCATGTTCAGGAGGCAGGGCACTCCCTTGGGAACCACACCCGCCTTCATCACTCAGTGAGCACACCAAACAGGTTCGCCTGGCTAGACGGTGGCTGAGGTGTCTGCGGCAGAGGGAAGTACAGTCATGCACACGCCCGATGACGGAGCCACCGACCGACACCTCCACATGAAGGAAGCCTTCCCTGGCTTAAAATAAACAGAGTAACTGCACAAAGGTGGATTTCCTGTGCAAGGAGAGCAGGGCTCATTGGGCCCCTTCCCAGCCCTGTGCTTACTTTTGCAATTGTATTTTATTTTTTAAAGAGGACTCTCATATTGCACAAGCCTCAGGCCCCTCAAAAACTTGTTTGCCATGACTATACTAAATTTTGTACATTGTTTCATATACTTACATGTTTACGTAAACTACTTTATAAGGTTGTGTTGTGCCCATTTACAGGAAACACAGGCAAGGTTGAGAGATAGCCTGAGGTCACACAGCTAAATTGTCCATGAACTGTGGTCACTCAGTAGGGCCTAAGGGTTAATTGAACTTGTTTTGATGTCTTTAGGTATTTTTACTGGTTGTCCTGATTTCAAATGCATCTCCCACATTAAAAGACCTGGCTTTCTTTTATTTTATGCTCATGGAACCGTTCAGAACAAATGTGCCAAATCCTAGCAGTAGAGGGTATTGATGAACCCAAGGAAGCCCAGCCCATTCTACCATCTCTCAGCCTGTTCACATGTATAAAGAGAAATTACCATTTAGGCCTGTAATCCCAGCTGTCCAGGAGCCTGAAGCAGGAGAATCGCTGGAACCCAAGAGGCAGAGGCTGCAATGAGCCAAGATGGCGCCACTGCACTCCAACCTAGGTGACAGGTTGACACCGTCTCAAAAAAAAAGAAATTGCCATTTATAAAATCTTGTGGAAAGTACAGAAACCAATTAGGAACTAAAATACTTATATTAAAAGATTTTAAAAATCAGCATCAGTTGTATCATTCTCCACCTAGTTTTTCAGAAGGCTTTTGTCCTCCATAGACAGAACATCTTGATTAATTAACCAAGTAAATGTTTATATAATACTTACAGTATTTCCATATCTTAAGAAACTCAGAGAAGAGTTAACATTCTTGTTTCTAACTCTGTGATGAGCACAGGTACGTTCTGTACTTCTCTCTTCCTAATTCAAGGAGGTTGCGGCCTGTTTCTTAGCAAGGGCAGCTGAAAGTAAGGATAATGTCTGGTTGAGTCCAACATGCAGACACATAAAATATACAAATGGTGAAAGCTAACACCAGGGGAAAATTGTTAAGAACCAGTACACTAGTTACTAGGTATATTAGATTATGATGAATCACTTGGGTGGGGGCTTATTAAACCCAGACTGTTCATCCCTCTACCTCTACTGTTTTGTTGAGTAGGTCTAGGGTGGGTTTGAATGAATTTCTAAGAGGTTCCCGTCCAAGACAGATGTTGCTGGGGCCAGGGCCTCAGTTTTAGAACCACCACTCTTGGAGATGTTCTGGAGTCCACAATCCTGTGCATACACAAACTTCGTCTTATTTCCTATTCAACCCTCACAAAGCTCAGCGCAAGAGCATAATAAAGCCCTCACTAGTTTTTGACAGAACTTTCTTAGAATTTAATAAGACACCAGTAGATTACCATTGCTATGCTTTTGATGTCAACATGGCAGTATCATTGTACTTCAGGCCCTGATTAATGAATAGCCACTTCTTTAAAGCCTCAAATAAGCAATGAGAGCCTGAAATAACCAAAAACTTGC